GGTGGCGAATGACAATTTGGGGTCATAGAAGTCATAGGTTAGTTGATAATACTTATTCAGGTTCATATAAACACACCACTAATGTGAAATTGATATAATTCAACCATTGTAAATGATCCATTCAATAAAATAACAACAATAGATAATCCTGATTTATTATAAAAAATACATCGGTGGGGATTTCTGATTAAAAAAAAGACTATATTTGCGGGTTTGACGAATAAGTACTTGAAGTTTTCGATTCTGATAGAATTATGCCATGCTTACAAGTATATATATATATAATAGACGAATGATTTTAGTTTATCATCCCAGACATTAAACGCAACAAATTAAGAACCGAATTATTTTTACATTCCATATTTTTAAAAATACAATAATTTAATCAGTAAAAATAAATTTCCTCGAGCCTATGCCTATAAACCACAAAATCTAAATTATATTAATTCGAATAAATTAAAATGTTTTTGATTATTATTATTAAATTTAAAAAAAGATTCAATTATTTGGAACCACAACTGTCATCTAATTCTTTCTCTTCCTTTGTCAAACGCAATAAAGTAGCTTCAGCTAATAGTTCACGCTTTGGTAATCTACGATCGGAACCTACACCACCAAGAACAAAAGTTCCACCTTGCCATGATTTTTCATCGATTGCTTCTTCTTCAGGAGCATTATAAAATTCAGCATTTGATATTTTGTGACCACTTGATGCTGTCCAATCCAATTCAACTAATATATTAAAGAAAAATCTATTAGTTTAAAAAGAAAAACCTTTTCAACATATGAATAAATTATTGATACTTGCCAACTTCCTTGTTGAGTTGTCTGTTTAACCGATGAAAATTATCATCATGATCGCTCCAAACATTATGCACTAATTCATGTAATAAAACTCTTCTAATCTCAGGATAATGCCTAAAACCTTCCATATCATTTGTACGTAATCTTAATGTAATTAATTCTCCACCATTTTTATTATATCCCAGAACATCTTTTTCTGATGGAGATATTTCTCGTAAATTACCAACATTCCATTTATATTTTTTCATTATTGCTCTAATTCCTTTATCATCTCTCAATTTTTCCAATAATGCACGTGCCTTCCCTGGTTCGGGAAATTGTTCTATCACTTGTATATTATGAAATGTATAATTAAGTTCCGATGATGTCAACTCGTTAACCCTCTTAATATCCTTATATGGCTATAATTACGTATGAGTAATGATTTCAATTAGAAATTTTTCTTTTTTTTTTAAAAAAAGAAATATAATATTTGAATACTTACATTGATTGCAAATTTTGATTTCGATTTGTTAGAAGGTTGGTGTATCACTTTTGAATCTGAAAGCTTGATACTTTGAATATCTTCTGGTGAACTTCCCATTAACATTATTTTAATTCCAGATTTTAAATTACATTCTCGTAACGTTTTAGTATCTGTTAGCACACCTATTATTATTATTATTATTTTTAAAAAAAAGGGTAAATTATTTAACAAAAAAAACCTAATTTTGAAAATAATTACTAAAACAAAACTTACCTTTGTATATCAATTTTTGAAATTCAGATGGTATACCGATATTATTGGCAAGGAATTCTTTTAATTCATGTATTGTATTATCAAGAGACCACGATTCCAGCTTTATAATCCTTCCTTTGAAATTTACTTGAAATGAAACTATTTGAATAAAAAAAAAAAAAGGAAAGAAACAAAAATAATAAAATGAGTTAACAATCTTGTAATATATATAAAATATTGATTATAATATAGATCGATTAAAAAATTATGATTAAAAAAAAAAAAATTTACTTGTATCTTGAGCCATTTTAAATATAAATATATTATTTTTTTAAAGAAAAAAAAGAGGTATTGAAAAGAAATAAAAAAGTGGGAATAGCATTTATTGTATGGGGTATTTTTATACAAATTCCATTCATTCTTAATTGGAATTGATCGAATCTTCTGGTCGTTAATTAATTTGTAATATAACCTTAAAGTGTGTGTGAACCGTTCACGTGTCATATTTATGAGGCGCGGATTTATATCTCCATGTTGTTGCAAATCATTTTATTCAAAAAGACTTTTCCCTTCGATTTTTTGCTTTTTCTATGTTCGATCAGGAAAAAAAAAAAAGAAGTTATTAAAAAGATTTATGTCCAGCAAATTAAGTTACAGATTTTATTTTTAGCTTTTTACATAAATGTACATATATGAAGTTTTTTTTTTACATGAAATTGTTGATGATGAAATGATTCATTAAATATTACAAGGGTTTTTATGATGGGTTGTATGAAATTTTTGTGTGATGATCTAAAATTTATATTTATGCCGTTCTTAAATTAATTAATTCAAAATCTTTTTTTTTTAAAAAAAAGTTTTAAGCCATAGTAGCATCTTTTTCGTTAAATGATGTGCCATTCAAAGAAGGGTTATTATTTCCCGATTCACGTCCTGTTCTTACATTATCTCTCTTCCCTTTATACCAAATGAAAGTTACCAAAAGTACAATAACGAACCAATATACAAAGTAACCAACCGTTGTTCCGAGAGTGACCTTACTTCTCCAACCAAATAAGGTTTTCATAATCCCCCAGAATTGATTTGTCTTGGGATCACAACAGTTAAATTCCCATAAAACATACTCATAAGATCCCGTTGATTCTTGTAACTCATGTATCGAAGAGGAGAAAAAACCGGCGGCAATAAATAAAAGTAGGGTGGTTGTGATGGCGAAAAATAATGTGACCGGTAATATGTTCGATCCCTTGTAGATGAGATATCCGATAGCAAATCCGGACATGATTCCCATGATAATAGGAATTGGAAATCCGGAAGTTGGCTTATCTAATCCGACCTAATTGGTAAAATAAAATTCTATTATACTGTAAACCAAAAAGGAGGATGAAAAAGAAATAAATAAAATAAAGAATTACGCCGGCGATGAACACAATAGATTCAACGGTTTCGCGACATATGACGGAGAATGGTAATAATACTAAAGCCCATTTGTTCCCTCGTTCATGTCTTTTAAGATACTGTTCGGTGGCATGTTTTAATCTACCTTCCCATTTTATTCTCCATTGTTGGACTTGTATCATGCTCAAGGCTATTGAGGTGATAACAATTGTGGCGATAAGTGAGAACGTGCCCTCTATTTGTAAAAATGCAAAAAAAAAAAAAATACGTAGGTATTTCAAGATATTTTTTAAAAAAAAGGGATTATGTATTTAGAAGCGTGATATTACCCCATGCGGCTCCACTATCTTTCCAGAGATTTCTCGCGATCGAGTAGAATATGATAATAAAGACAACACCAAGGAGTATGGATACTCCTAAACCAGCAACAGTTCCGATCAATATTTGTTTTAAAAGTTTCTTTTTTAATAAACTGTTCTCCTCCGGAATCAATTTATCAATGAATCCTAAGAGGACCGCGATGACAATTGTAACCTCAAGAGTTTCTCTTAAAAGAATGAAATAAGCAGGCACATCAAATAAATAAGTCATAATTTTTTTTTTTTTCTAGAACGATTAAAAAAAAAAAGGAAAAAAAAAAAGGTAATAATAATATTTTATTGATTTTTGAGGGAGGGGGGGATTTATGACAAAAAAAAAGTGGTTTTCTTATAACGCTTTTTTTTTTTTTTTTTTTTTTGTTTATTATTGATCGACATTTAAGATTATCACAAGCAATTAATTCAACTCCATCCTGTTATTGAAATAAAAAATTAAAAAAAAAAAAAAGAAAAAAGTTATTTACATGCAGTGTCTTTGTTTACTTAGTTGACAAAAATTATAATGATTAATAAATAATTCATTAAATTACTAAACATTAAATATTTAGAGCAAAGATTACGTGAAACTTATAAATAAACGAGAAAAAAAAACCATTTCAACTATTTCAACTAAAAAAAAATAATTTTCAAGATCAAAGAACATGTCTTTAGTAGTTAAGATTATACTGTTTTCTTATCGTTCAACAACGACAAAAACATTTACATCGTCATTTACATTGTCATGATAATGTAAAAAAAAAAAAATAATGACAATCAAACAAATTGTTACACTCAAAAGACGTTTCCAAAGATTTTGTGTAGACTTTCTTTGTTGCAAAAAAAAATAATCATTTCCCTTTTTTTTGTGCTCTCAATTCGAAGAAAAAAGAAATTTGTTGCTTGTAATCGAAATTTCTTCGGAAACCATCTTGGTAATCAATGTTTAAAAGGGGTTTTCCGCGAATGAATTTTACGAAAATCGCTATAAACAAATAACATTAATTTATTTCTGTCATTCATCGAGTTTTAATCTCCTCCTTAAATTGTCATTTTCCGTTTCCTTAGTGTTATTTCCCTTTTATTTAATCAAACCTGCATGATTGTTTTTCCGTCACTTCTACCACAATCATATATTAGGAAACATTGCGTCTTCAATTAACTGAAATAATTATAATTAAATAAAAAACTCATTAGTGAATGTATGACAAAGACCTGTTTTGTCATAATAAATATTTTAAAACAAAAGAAAATTTTCTTTGTTAAATTAAACGGAAAATAAACCGAATCTTTATCTGGAAACTCGGATAATTTCTGTTTAAAAGATTACAACCGTGTTAAGGTAAACACTTGCGAATAGCGCATGTAGCGCAGAGGTTCATCGATATTTATTTATTAACTCATCACTACTATACAATTTGCTTTGATTCAACAACAGGCACACACCTTAAATACTCAAATAAAATTAAATAAATAAATAAAGGGAGAAAAGGAAAGGCTGATAATTACAAAAAGAAAAACTGGATAAAGTCCTTCAAACTAATTTAAAAAAAAGTGATGAACTATATATATGTCTATATCATGAATTCAATCAGATATTAATCCGTCCCACTTTGATACAAAAAATACAAAAAAGTAATATATATATATATAAATATATGTATATGTATATGTATATGTATATGCATATTTATATTTTACAAGAGATTAGCCTCGTGAGAAATTCATTTGTAGGCAATAAGGTACTTTGGAAGCGCGGCCTAATTTAATGAAAGAAGTTCATGTTAATTTTGGACAATCGTAAAGAATAAATAATATAATAGAATTTCGAAGGAAATTTGCTCAACGTACAGCATCCTTATCGACAATCAATATTGAGTTGCCCGCAGGAGCGATGACCTCCTCCACAAATATTACTTTCACAACGGAGCCGCTACAATAACCTTGCGATGTGCTTGAACTACTCGCAAACCACATTTCTAAGAAAGAAAGGAAGGAGAAAGATCGGATTATTTTTTAAAAAAAATTATTATTATTATTATTATTTGTTTCGAAAAAAAAACTTACGGTGAGTATAACGAGAAAATTTCGTTTTATTGCCTTCTTTGGCAATACCGCAAACTCCACAAGGAGGTTTACAAAAAACAGCATCCTTTTTGTCAATAAACCGTTGTGGTTCGCAACCTAACGCACTCCTAGTACCATGAAACATTCTATGACTGACTTCTGATTCCGTTAAATTATTTAACCTGGCAGTTTGTTTTTTATATTGTTCATGAGCTTTGATAAGATTTCTTGGCATTTGTAAACGAACAATACCAAGAATATCCTTATTTGGTAATCCAACAGAAAAGAAATCTTTAACTTCAATATACTCTTTGTCCGTGGGAGAAAGTGTGGTCATTTTTGTCTTTTTGATCGTTTTCTCTCTCTTTTTTTTAAAATCCTTTTCTGTTGAAGTTTCATAAGCGGAATCAACCTGTTCGCTGTTTGAAGAATTTGTTGAATGATTATTAAAGAATTTCCTAATGGATTTAAATTTCTTGCTGGACTTCTTCATTCCGACGGAACCATCAAGGTTTTCCTGATCATTAAAAGAAACAATTTCTTTGCTATAAAATGAAGTCGTGGATATTTTATGTTTTAAGTGATTATTCCATGGTAAATAATTTAATGATCTCGATGAAGATGCAAAATTAAGTTCCGGCTCTATTGAATCTTCATCAGAGAATGAAGTCACAGAAGTTGAAGCATAGGGTCGAGTTACGGTCTTAAATGAAAAAGGTGATAAATGAGTTGCAGAGGAAGATGAAGTTGCCGTTAAAGTTTTTGTTATTGGATTGACATTCAATTCACACTTTGATGAATTTACTGGATCTGGTAGAGGTTTAGAAAGATGACACTTTGCGCTACAAAATGAAATAAAGGTTTCATTTGTGCATTCATTGTTACATCCTTTTAGTTGACATTTTGATTTGTTATTATGTCTCTTTCCATGGTTATTCTTCTTAAAGACACCAAAAAAGTTCTCAACGCTGATTTTCCTTCGAAAGGATTTGGTTTCATTCGCAGTTTTAAGGGTGCCCTCTTGATACATTTTATTTGATGATGAGTATGCGATAAAAAAAAAGAAGAAAAAAAAATTTATTTAAATGAAAAAGGGAGTTGTGGGTTCAAAAGAGTGATCGAAATAGTTTCAAATTCTGGCCGGATGCTTAAATATTCAGAAAAAGGGTCCGATTCCAAAAGATGAAATAAAAAAGAGTTATGATCGAGTTGGGGCACTCGTTAAAAAAAAAAAATTTCCTATCACTTTCGAGAAGAAAGATTTGATGGAATTAATGGAAAGATATTCCGAGCTCGATTTTCGGAAAAGAAGAATTATAACACTTAGTGTCAATTCTTTTAAATAGATTTGTGAAAAAAAAAAAGAACTAAAAGAGGGAATGAAACAAAAAAAAAAAAAAAACAGTTTTGTAAAAATAATAAAGATGATAAAGATTCCACAATGAACAAATGAAGTTTAGTTTGTTATTTTTATCCCAAATTTTTTAAAGCATGATGATCATCATTTGATTTGTAACAAAAGAATTTTTGCACAACGCTAGAAGACATCACTCTGCAGAAATGTTTTGTCTCGTGATTTACCTCGTAGTGAAAAAAAGGAGAAACTTTAAATTTAATTTGAGTTCTCCGTTTTGTGTGAGTAAACAAAATAAAACATTTTGTGAAAATAACAATTTTCTTATAAAATGATGATTTTTTTATTTTTATGTTAAAATGTTGTAATGTAAATAATGATGTGATAATATTTTTAGTTTCTATAAACAACTTTTACTTGCGTTTCGTAACGGAATCCAACTCCTTATTCCATACACTATGTATTTCTTATTAAAACGATTTCCGAGTGACCTAAACTGTAGTAGAATGAACCTCGAATCTTTATGCAAAGAAAATCTGTAGAGAACTTTTCACTCCGAATGATCCTCGATCCTTATTGGCTAATTGTATTTGAGGCACTCTATTTTTGGAAACATGTTTTAACCGTTTTTGTTCAAACTAAAAATACGTGTGAAACCTCAAACCGAATACAAAGAAAAAAAGAAAGATTTTCTTATCTGTTATTAAATTATACATCATTTAAAGCGGAAATGAGTTAAGCTTGTGATACGCGTCGTAAATTATTGGTCATCGAACAAATCAACGCGTTTCAAGTCAGCTTAACCAAACTTGTTGATATTCATGAGGGCGTAAAAATCAAAAAAGGAAAAAATTCCTTTATTTTTTTTTGAAAAATTTAACAATGATCTATCGGAGATTGATTATCAAAGATTCGCAAGGATTTGGCGTCAAAAAAAAATTGACAAGTTTGTCAATTTTTCCCAATGGGAATAAATAAAGATGATTCAAAAAGATAATATCATAATGTTGAAAATTTAAGGTCATTTCAGTTCAATGTGTTTGTCATAGAATTTCTAGATAGAATCCAAGAGATTATTTAAGGATGTCTAAATTTCCTTGAACCCGTTCACTTTTTAATCACAGCCTTTTATTTTTGATAAATAAATTATCGTGCTTTTCAAATCTTTTACCCATGCATAAAAGCGGAAAATCTGGAGGTAGTTGTGGAAAAGGTAGCAGCGGTTCATCCGCAAAATCTTCGGCAAATGCTCGCTCGAATGCTTACAATACAACCGCCCGATCTTATAATCCAACTGTTCAGAGTAACACGGGTGGAAAAACTTCCAGATCAAGTCATAATGCCGCAGCAAGAAACAATGACAATGTTAGGAATGCTAGTGGAAATTAAATGCAATTCCGATGGTATTGTTTTTTTTAAATTATGTTATGTTTTAATGGATTGAACTATCGTTGATACCTCTCTTATTTTACCAAAGATAATTGAATTCCTTGCGATATTATAATCATTATATATTACTATATATTAAATATATATGTATATATATTTAAATTGAATTATTTTATTCAGGCTATTTTTGATTCTTTGATTTGTACTTTTTTTTTTTTTGAAAAGATTTATTTGTTTCAATAAAATCGATTTTTTTGATCACATATTCAACCTATAATTTATCAGATTTACCAAATACTGACACTTTTGAGACGACCAATAGAATCTATTAGTATTACGGCGTGCGAATTAAATGTTCAGGTAACCTTCGACCAAAAACATTGAACAATAAGCAGCCCCCAATCAGGAATTTTATTAAGTTGTTAAAATGCCAACATGGTTCATTGAGCACATGACTATAATCAAACATGTTGACTGCCGCCCCCATATATAAAAAACTGCGTGCATTCAAAAATAACTTTTTGATTCAAAATATTGAAATTAAAAATCTTCAGGAATAAAAATGTAAAAACATTGTATTTTTTGTAAAAGCGAGACATTGTTCGAAGAATAAATTGTAGCCCTTCTTTCAAAGCAGAAATTTATCATATCTCGTGGTCATACTATTAAATCCAAACAGACGCTTGTAATTTGTCCAATTTATTTTTAACCAAATTTTGTGCACATGACTATTTTTGATAAATATCACCTGTTAAATCTGGTATAATGATAATGCTAAGTATGGTGATAGGTTACTTTCAATATTAAAAAAGATACTAAAATAAAATTCTATGCTTTCGTTAAAAACAATCTAATGGCAAATGTCGAAACTTTTTATTTGGCTTTTTTTTTTTTAAAAAAAAAAAAAGTAATGGTGAAAAAAAATTTGCCACTTTTAAAGATCAATATGGAAACGTTTCCAATGAAATAAATTAATCATATGATCTGTAATGTGATTTTACAGGAAACGCTCCCACTCACCTGTTAATTTGTTTGAAATGCTTGATCATGTGACTATAATTAGATTTCGATCTACATGTTAAATCTCAACACATCTAAATTAAGGCATCAAAAAAACAACTTTTTACCTTTTTGTGCATAATCTGTTTTTTGACTTTTCCCCAAACATTTTTAACATTTTTTGGTAAAATGTATCAACGTCTCAGTCCCGGTATAATCATTATTTGGTTTTGTTGATACAAAAAAATTAATTACAAATATTAATTTTTTTGTAAACTTCTCAGATAGTTCGGGTTTTGATTCTTTTTATGAAGGAAAGGATAACACGACACGTGATGTAAGTTCGAAATAAATAAGAAAAATTATATATTTTTTTTTTTATCTGTTAATAAATAATGTTTTTGACATATTGAACACTTCTTTAACGAATGATATAAAGGATGAACTTGTCGAATTTAATGATTTTAATGAAGGAATAAACATGAATAGCAACAATAAACTTGATTTGAATATTAGTCGTTTTGACGACCAGGAAGGTTTCGTCGCGAGCGAAACTTACAGTGGTGTTAGTTATGACCGAGAAGCTTTTGCCAAGAATGATCCTTGTACTAGTCCTAGTTATAATCAGAAGGATTTAGGCTCAAATAATTCTTCTTGCACCAGTGCTGCTATAGGTCATCATCGTAAAGTTTTGGTTTCGAGTGGTTCTTGTACCAGCGTCGATAGCAACATGGAATCTTTAATCTCCAGCAATTCTTGCGGTGACGATGTGGTAGAACATTATATTTCCTCCTCCAAAGAAATTTCCAATCATAAAAAATTTCGGAAATCGCAAAATCAAAAATACAAATGTAATCAAGAAAATTGTGGAAAGACATTATTTTCAAAAAGTTCCCTTCTAAAACATCAAAAGTTACATTTGGGATTTAAACCATTTAAATGCGATGAAATTGCTTGTGAAATGAAATTTGCCAATTTAAAAGGGTTAAAAACTCATCAAAAAATTCATACAGGGGATTGTCATTATAAATGTGACGAATGTGGAAAAGTTTTCATGACTCATATTCGTTTGCGTCAACATATCAAGGTTCATACCGAAATACGCCCTTACAAATGCGAAGAGTCTGGTTGCATAAAGACTTTTATTTTGCCCCATCAATTAACAGAACATATTAGAATTCATACGGGCGAACGTCCGTACAAGTGTAAAGAACCTGGGTGTGGAAAGTGTTTTGCGCGATCAAATATGTTGTCGCGTCATAAAAGGATCCACACCGGTGAACGTCCCTACAAATGTAAGGAACCTGGATGTGGAAAGTGTTTTACTCGATCAAACATGTTGTCGCGTCACAAAAGAATTCATACGGGAGAACGACCCTACAAGTGTAAGGAACTTGGATGTGGAAAGAGTTATATTCAATGGGGTCATTTGCAACGTCATATGATAAGCCATACCGGTGAACTTCCGTACAAATGCAACGAACCCGGATGCGAGTTGAACTTTCTTCGATCGTATGAATTAAAAGAACATATAACATCTCATACCGGAGAACCATCTAATGATAATGATTCGAATCCTACATTATATAATGAAAAGGGTAATGATTTGTCACACAACGTAAGAAATTCCTTTTCGCCTTTGTTTTACATATTTATTATGTGTATCATCTATTGAAACTTTTCACCTTTTCATCAGATGGGAGAGGAATCCTTTATGGTGGATTATAGTGACTCAGAAATTGAAACCATAGTAGATGATGTCAGTAGTGATACGATCGATTCTGATGAGTTGGATATCGAATTCGATAGAGATGAGAGTAATAACGTTGATACAGGAATTGATGACCTCGCGAAAGATTCAGGGCTATTGCAGCAAAAGAAATATAGATGTGACCAAGCTGGTTGTAGAAGAAAATTTTCTTCTATTTCCATGTTTCAGCATCATCAAAAAATGCATTCAAGAGAGAAACGTTATACGTGCAATGAACCTCTTTGTGAAAAGCGATTCTCTCTGAAAAGTTATTTGAAAATTCACATGAGAACTCATACCGGTGAAAAGCCATATAAATGTAAGGTATTGGGTTGCGGAAAGAGCTATGGTAGATCTAGTCATTTATCGGATCATATGAGAAAACATACCGGAGAACGCCCGTACGCATGTTATTATGCTGGATGTGATAAAAGATATTCCCGATCCGGTCATTTAATAGATCATGTGAGAACTCATACCGGTGAGCGTCCATACAAATGTACTGCGCTGGGATGCGGGAAGAGCTTCACTCAATCCGGTCATTTTACTCGGCACATGAAAAATCATGATGAAAAGGTTTCAATCGCATGCGATCAACCTGACTGTGAATATCCTCAATCAAATTCTTTAAAGAAGAAGAAGCACACGAGAACCCATATCGACGGGATTTGTTCTCCCGGTAAAGATAACAAATCATTTGAATGCAAGGAACCAGGATGCGGCAAGAATTTTTCTAAACTTTATAACCTAACGCGTCATATGAAAGTTCACACTGGTGAAAAACCGTATAAATGTGATGAACCTGGTTGTGAAAAAAGATATGCTCAATCCGATCATCTAAAAGATCATAAAAGAATTCACACTGGTGAACGACCATACAAATGTAACGAGTGTGAGAAAAGCTTTACTCGATCATACTATTTAAAAGATCACAAGAGAATCCATACTGGTGAACGTCCGTACAAATGTGATGAATGTGGGAAGAGTTTTCCTCGGTCTAATTATTTGGCAAATCACAAGTTAATTCATATTAGCGAAAAGCCGCATAAATGTAAAGAACCTGGTTGCGAAAGGAGTTTTATTCGAGCGGATCATCTAAAGTATCATATGAGCAACCATACAGGAGAACGCCCACACGAATGTGAAGTACCCGAATGTGGAAAAAGGTTCTCTCGATTACAATCCTTGTTGAGACATAAAAGGATTCATACTGTGAAATGCGACGGGAGTGTTTGACTTTATTTAAAGAGGATTTTGATTTTGGTCGCACACCTGTTGACATGGAAGAAAGTTATGATCATGATGATCGAAGAGATCAGAATTATACATAAAATGAAAAGAATACGGGCAATCCTTCATCTAGAAAATCCAAGGAATAAATTTTTTGAATTTTACAATAAAAATGATTTCTTTTATTCATATCTTAAATATTTATTTGATACATATTTATAATTTTCATCAAATTTCAAGAAATGTGGTTACATTCAAATATGATGTTCAATACTTTTTTGATTAAACGGAATTATTTAGTTTTACTTTCACCATCAATTCTTCACAATGATTCACGGTCGTTGAAGAATATTTTATATCTCCAACCATATCCACCAATTCCACATCATATTTTCTATACAACAAAACCATCAATGCTTTCAATTGTAAAATTGCCAATTGTTTACCCAAGCAAATTCTTGCACCGCCGCCAAAATAGAGCAGTGCATTCTTTGTAACTGATTGTTCCTTACCCATAAAACGATCAGGATCAAATATTTCAGGTTGTTGCCAATGAGAGGGATGCATTTGTACAGCCGGAACATTGATCATAAATTGTGTGTTTGCCGAGAATTTATAACCAGCGATTTCATCGGGATTTGCTGATACGCGAAACAAGACAGAAACCGTCGGCATTAAACGTGAAACTGAAAAATTGAATAAAATATTGAATAAAATAAATGTTAAATCGCAAGAATTTTAGGAGTAACAAAATATCAAACGACCTTCTTTAATGATTGCTTCGCAATAATTCAGCCTGTTGATGGATTCATATGTAAGTTCGTGATTCATATCTTTTCCAAAGACATGTTCGATTTCTTGTAACATTTTCCGTTTTACTTCAGGATAGTGGGTAAGATAATAAATCACATAACAAAACGTGTTTGATGTCTGAAATAAATTCGCGTATGTCGATGTAAAGTATTGGAAAAAAAACAGAAAAAAATTTTTTTTTTTTTTGACATACCGTATCAATCCCACCTCCAATTATCTCATAAACGTTCTCTCGAACATCGACTTCGCTCATCGGCATGACATCCTCTTCAGTTGTTTGTGAAAAATTAGGATCGAGATTTTTGTTAATCGTTAAAAGTAAAGTTAACATGTCGGCACTTAATTCTTCATCTGATTTAGCATTTTCAATTACTCTCTTCCTTTCTCTAATTAATTCTAACACTTTATTATTTAACCAAGCAACGACTTCCAATAATTCTTTGGATTTTTTCCTATTAGCTGGAAGGATTTTCCTTAAAAATTTTGGGGTATCTTTAAAGAAAAGGCAAGCAACAAAATGCAATCTAATATAATTTACAAATTTTTCCGACTCTTTTATAATGTCAATTTTACATTCTTTTTCATCATCATCATTCAAAATATTTAAAGTGTTAAAATAATTAAATAAAGCGTAAGATTTGGTATGTGTAATTAGAATAAAAACGGAATCGGTCATAAATCTCATCATCCAACTTGCCAAGTTCAATTTATTTTGATATCCGATTTTTTCCCAATATTTTTCCATCTCACAAAATAATTCTTCGGTATTCTTTACAGCTTTCTTTAAAAATTTTGGAGACATTAACGCTCGCGACACAATTTTTCTATTATATAGCCAAGTTTTTACATTTCGATTAAATACAATTCCTTTGTTCGTCATATCCATTCTATCTAATCCTTCATTCTCGGTCGTTCGATAAGGAAAATTATTTTGTGTAAGTGAAGGATTAAGTAATTTATTGGTAAGATTGGCATTCGAAATCCAAATTTGTCTGGTTAAAGAAAGCAATCCACCCGAATATACTTCGAAAATATCACCATAAGATTTGCGCAATTCATTTGCCCATTGCGATGAATTCGGACGATATGTTTCGATGTTTCCTATCAATGGAAAAGGTATTGGACCCGGAATTTTATCTTTTCTAGTAAAATATCGAAAATAGAATTGTACTACATAAGTTAAGATGATTAAAAAAAGAAAAGAAAGGAAATTTGAAACATCATTAAGGATGAACTCTTCGATTGTCGAATGAATCTTCATTGTACAAAAATCAAAAAATACGTATATATGAGATGAGAAAAGGTTGAAAGTGTAGGTGATTGATTACAATTACATAAATATTTTTAATTTTTCTTGATTTAGTCGATAAGCTTGACTAAATATAAATTAGAATTACTAAAATTCTATTACCGAGTACAGTATTGATTGTCTGACGTAACCTTTAGCTTATCAAATTATTATTAATTGTTTGCCGATTGCTATAGCCAAAAATGACTGATTCGTTCTTTAATTATTTAATTAATAATTTATAAAAACTTATATAATGCAGTTGGTTTTCCCTTATACTGACAGGCTTATGAATATGGAATGTAAGTAACTATGCAATTTTTTTTCATTTCTGTTTGACAAATTATTATGATCTTTTATTTATGTAAATTTTATTTTATCATTTTTATGTTATATAGCTCAAAGTGAGTATTGAATCATTTAAGCTCTTTTTTTTTTAAGTAACTTTTTAAGCATCATTTTAATCTTGACGATATATACTTTTAGATATGAACCATTTAACGCATGACTTGGGAAGATGTATGTCGAGGATCGGGAGACCGTTTATCGTAGGTCACAGGGGCGCAAGTGCAAAATATCCCGAAAATACAATGTTATCGATTGAACAAGCTATTGCGGATGGCGCCGAGGCCATAGAATTTGGTATAAAAAGTTTCGAAATCCTTTCAATTATTTTTTTTATTTTCCGATTTTTCTGATTTTTTTTTTCTAGACATTCGTCTAACACTTGACAATGAGGTGGTGATTATGCACGATACTTTGTTAGATCGTACAACAACAGGACATGGATTGATATCTGGCAAGAATTATTTTGGAGACATCGAATACCTCACTACAAAAAAAGAGCCATATTGCCCGATCTCTCGATTTCAAGATGTACTCGATCTTCTTTCCAAAGAAGAGAATTCTCACATCTGGGCCGTAATTGATGTTAAGATACAAAATTCCCCTAAAATTCTTTTGGCGTTGAGTGAAATCTTTAAATCACGAAATAAAGATTTTACCGCATCATCTAAACAATTTTCATTAGGAATTTGGCATCCAAAATTCATTCCTTATGCAAAAACTTATTTACCTGGAATCCCAATAGTATATATAGGAATTTCATTAGACATAGCAAGAGAATTTTTTAGCAATGTGGACGGGTATAACATTAAATACATTGCATTATTTGGTGATAAAGAACAAAAATTTATTAAGGAAGCCCACGCTAAAGGAAAACCGGTATTTGCGTGGACTGTTAACGAGGAAAGTCATGCAAGGAATTGTCATAATTGGGGTGTCGATGCCATAATGACTGATCGAACAAAACTTTATGTGGATTTTTTTAGAAATCAAAGGCATGAAGAGAGATCACTAAGCATCGAAAGGAAGAAATACTTGATTATTGAACAGAGTTGGTTCACATCATTATTTCAATTCCTTTTAAATGGGTATCTTTATTTGAATGGAAGATTAACTTTATATAAATTTCGTAACTAGAATTCTAGAAAAATAATTTTTTTTTTCTTGTACTAACTATAATAAGAATTGTATAATGTACGTGTATCACAGAATATTTATTTATTATCGAAAAATCTTTTCACCCAATGTAAAAAAACTTGCTTTTAAGCATGTCATTTATTAATGTAATAAAATATTTGTTTTGGAACGTAATGAAATATGGGCTTGCTATCTTCACGTTTTATTTAGCGTATTTTTACTTTCGGTATTTCGCTCAATATAAACCATTACCGGGTCCCTTTCCTCTTCCATTCGTTGGCAATCGTTTACAATACAAGGGAAACCCGGCAACATGGGCAAGTAGTCTTCGAGAGAAATATGGAGACTTCTGCGAAATCTATATGGGTAATGAACGACACTTATGGTTATCTAGGGCTGATTTGGTAGAAAAGATATTCAGCCCTTCATTAAATAGTAATTATTTGATCAAGATAACCCCAAGAGAAGGATTAGATGAGATCGATGTAACTACGAAAGGGTTTACTTTTAATAGAAATTTGAAGAGTTGGATGTTTAATCGAAGATTTTTTAATCAAGCAATCAGCTCATCGAAATTTATGAAGCAGAACGTCATAATAACGCAAAACTTATTCAAAGAAATGGATGATTATTGGAGAGATTTAAGAATTCAAACGGAAAATACAAGTGGCAAAGAATTTACACTTAACTTATCAGAATGGATGACTAGATTCGTGATGGACGTTATATTTGTTATAACAACTAATAAAAGAGCTTATACATTTGCTAATTACTTTAATCAGTTATCTGGTACAAGGACAAGTCAACATTCGGAAATTGACATGACCGAATCAGAGAATCTTGTTAATAATATTCACTCTTGGCTATGCGCTTTACAATTTTATATGGATACACCTACTTTATGGAGAAAATTTATTCCCAGATTTAAAGAAAGGGCCGAATCCTTGAAGGGCGAAGTTGATCGATTGAATCATACTTTTATGGAATTAATTAGTCAGAGAAGAAAAGAGATTGAGATGACACCGAATGATGATCAATTGTCACCTGATATGTTGACGATGTTGTTGACCGTAAACACACCAAGAGATATTACGGTTAATCTTGCAGATGATCAACATACGAGACCCTTGACTGATGAGGAAATCCGCGGTAATATCATGGAAGCCATCGTTGCTGGAGTCGACACGGTACATAATTTCTTTGGGTTCATTTTGTTATTTTATATTTTGAGAAATTGTTATGTTATGATGGAGTTACCAAGATCATATGAAATTATTTTTTACAGACAGCAAATACATTTTGTTTTATTGTGTATCATCTTGGTCGTTACCCGGATGTTAGGGAATTAATGCTTCAAGAATTCAATTCAGTCTTTGGAGATGATTTAGATCGTTCAATTGAACACGAGGATTTGAATAAGTTGGTTTATTGTGATGCTATCATTAAAGAAGGTATTTCTCAAAAAAAAAAATATTTTTCATTTGACTTATATTATCACTTTTTACTCTCGATTTCTAATCTCCTCTTGATTGATTAAAAGTTTCTCGGATGATGTCAATTGTACCAGTCATATTTAGAATGTCAATAAAAGATGATATGATACAGAGACATTGTTTTCCAGCAGAGACACAAATTAATGTTAATGTACCAGCAATTCACATGAATCCAGCACATTGGAAGAATCCTGAAAAATTTGATCCTTCCCGATTTTTGAACCAAGGCGTATCAGGTGGAAATAGAATCGCAAAGAATTCTCTATTAATTTTTGGTGGAGGACCAAGGATGTGTCCGGTATGATATTTAATTTATATAATTTTTTTTTTTTTTTTTAGGAGTAATTTCTTTGGTTTTTAAATCTTTTCGTTTTTAAAAATAGGGAAAGAATTTAGCAATGACCGAATTGAAAACTTTGATGGTCTTGCTGTATAGAAAATATGATGTGGAATTAGTTGATATGGATGAACCTGTTAAATACCATTATTCTGTCATTAAACATTGTGATAATTTGATGATTAGGATTAAAGAGAAAATTCTTAAATAGGACGTCAATTTCACGGCTATCATTAACTTCACAACTTCACGTAACGAACGCACGTCATCAATCATAAAGTCTGCAACTTGTATTGTAAATAATTATTTATACATAATAGATTTTTTATTTTTCTTATTTTTTTCGTTTAAACGTAAATAAAATATTTCTTTTCATCAAAAACTCTGATACGTTAAATTTATTTTTTTAAAAGATTAAATTTGTCACGCTAGAAGCAAAAAAAAATCTAAAGATCAAAGTCAACATTTTCTAAACGAAACATTTATAAAATTTTTGTAAATCAAAATAAAAATTTGAAGTTGCTTTAGAAATTTATTAGGATATTATTAGTGTGAAAACATTATTATGTAAAAAAATAAAATGAATTTTTTTGTAATTAAAAGCTTGTAAAAAAAAATTAAAATTCTTTTTTCGCGAAACAAAAGGAATTATTAAAAGAAATGTACATTTTAAACCCAAAGAAAATTAATGTCACAAAATTTAAGGAAAAAAAAAAAAGTCCTGAAAGTTGCAAGTTTTGAAGGGTTGTTGCCGACCGTTTCGACCTTTACTCTTCTTCTTCTTTGTTCTTTGGATTTTCAGGCGCGTCTTTCCATCTTTGAGCAGCAACCTTAAAAGCTTCCCTGTGAGAAATATTAGGATTATCGGCTTTTACTTTGGGGAGTTCGGTTTTCATAAACTTATTGTAAGGTGAGATTGCTCGACCTAAAATAAAATAAAGAAATATAATATTTAATAAACGCGAGAACTATTTTTCTAAAAAAAAAAGAGGTGAACGATAAGTTTTATATATACCAGTTGCTTTTTTTGCAGTCTTTACTTTTGCCATTATTTCTTTTTGTGTGTAGAAAAGGATGTATGTAGAAAAGGTTTTGGAAAGTTTGGAAAGTTGGAAAGTGTTTAACGTTATAGTTATTATAGAAGGTTGTAATTATTAGAGTTGGCGATTTGAAAAAAAGTTTTAAAAAAATTTGAAAGGAAGTGAAAAAAAGGCTTATTTATAATCAAAAATCGCGACGCGTATTATTATAACGCGTTATGACTGTTGTTCAATAATATGAATGATTTTAAATAGGGGGCGTGTAATACCGTGATCAGCTGAAATAATCGATAAAATTGATTACATCACATTTGATTGGCCATTTACATTCCTTCTTGAAATTTATCGAAAATGCCTGAAGTAACTGGAAAACCACAAAATAAAACTAGGTAAGAATTCCGAATTCATTTATTTTTGTTATTCTGTTTTACCAATATTCTGGTTAAATCAAAAATTTTAATCATTAAATTTCAAAATTTCGGGGGAAACATATTTGGATCAAAAAAATTTTTATTTTTTTATAAAAAAAATTTGAAGTTTTAAGGTTACACGAACGATTGAATCGTTATTTACTGGTGGTAAAGCAGCAATTACACCGGACGAACAATATTTGATTACAACGATTGGAGAAGATATTGATGTTACGGAGATCCATAATGGAAAAAGATTGTTTCGTTTAAGTGGCGTACGTAATTTCATCATTGATGATTTTTGATGGAATTGAAAAATCTTCCTGAAAATTTTTGGCTTAATTGAAATTAATTCTTTCTACCTTGATTATCAGGATACGGAAATAATTACAACTTTCGCTATAACACCAGATGGTAAATATTTAATAAGCTCATCTCGTAGTCTATCAGTTAAAATATGGGATTTGAAAACAGGAAAATGTGTAAGATCATTCAAGGTAACTCGTCAAAAAAAAAATTGCTTTCTTTAGGCATTATATTAAAAGCAATTCTTATTAATTATTCTCCTTTATTATTCTATCAGGCTCATGAAGCTCCTATAATTGTAATTGATGTTGATGGAACATCAACACTGGTTGCAACGGGTTCAGCTGATAGTACGGTAAAAGTATGGGACATTGAAGGAGGATTTTGTACGCACAATTTTCGTGGACATGGAGGAATTATAAGTTCGTTGAAATTTTGGAAGGAGAGTTATGAATGGATGCTTATTTCTGGTTCTGATGATTGTAATATTCGTGTATGGGATTTATCAAAAAGAAGGTAATTTTTTATGATGATGAAGATTTTATTTGGAGATGAGATTTCAATTTTTTTTTTCTTTATTTGTCGAATATTTTAGTTGTGTGGCCGTGTTGAAAAGTCATGTTAGTATGGTTCGTGGATTAGATATTACAAATGACGGCAAATATTTAATAAGTGGATCGAGAGACAAAGTTGTAAATATTTGGGACTTGAATAAAAAGAAATTGGTTAAAACATTTCCCATATATGAGGTATATAAAATTTGTCGAAAAAAAAATTTTTTTTTTTTGTTTCAAGAAAACAAATATAATATGATTTTGATTTTGCTTCTTTTAGACAATAGAAACGGTAGGGATTTTAGAACCTAATACTATAATATCTGAAGTTGAGAATAATGTTGGGAAAGAATTATTTTATACTGGTGGCGATAAAGGTAATATATTTATATTTATTAGAACTAAAGATTTTTTTGTTTTACCAAGATTTAAAAAAAAATATATTTATTTATTAGGAATTATTAGGATATGGGATCTTAAAACCGGAAACCTTATCAAAGCACAGGATCCCGAAAAGAATACTAAATATGGCATCTCGGAAATAATGTACGAGGAAATGTTCGAATAAAAAAATTACCATAGAAACTTTAACTTAAATACAATATTTTCCCTTTAGATATCTCCGTAAGAGCGATTATTTAACGGCAGTGACAACGGATCATAATATATTATTTTACAACATATCATCCGGTTTACGTAGAATAAAACAAATTATAGGTCACAACGATGAAATAATCGATCTCGTCTATGTAGGTCCATCGGAATCACACTTGGCTATAGCAACAAATACTGAACAAATTCGGTTGTTAAATGTAGATTCATTTGATAATAATATTATCTATGGACATAAAGATATTGTGATTTGTTTATCAAAATCTTTTGATGGAAGATTTTTAATGTCTGGATCAAAAGACAACACTGCAAGACTATGGAAAATTAATATTGAAGCTAACGAAGTTGAGGAAATCGTTAAACCATGCGGAATTTGTGTTGGGCATACTGGATCTATTGGAACTGTTGCTTTACCAAACAAGAGTTTAAAGTTTTGCATAACTGGAAGTCAAGACCGTACCGTGAAATATTGGGATTTATCTCAGACAGGTAAGTTTTATACTGATTAATTAAGGTAATGTAATTTCTGAGGTTAGATATTTACATATTCTTCGCTTTTTTTATTTAATAGATCTGTCAAAGTGCGATGAAGAGCACAGGCCAAAATCGTTGTATACGCACCAAGCACACGAAAAGGATATAAATTCCATATCTATTTCACAAAATGATAAAATGTTTGCATCTGGATCACAAGACAAGACCATTAAAATCTGGTCAGTTGCTGACGGAAAATTATTAGGAACTTGTATAGGACATAAAAGGGGAGTTTGGTGCGTACAATTTTCACCCGTTGATCAGACTATCGTATCAAGTTCTGGTGACAAAAATATCAAAATTTGGTCAATAAATGATTTTTCTTGTTTAAAGGTAATATAAATAAATGATTTCCAAAAAAAAAATTTTTTTTTCTTAATCCAACATTTCTTTTAAAATCTGAATTATAATTTATTCTATTTAGACGTTTGAGGGTCATACAAATACGGTGTTAAAAGTATCATTTATAACTTCAGGTTTGCAATTAATATCAAGTGGATCGGACGGGTTAGTTAAATTATGGAATGTTAAATCAAATGAATGCGTAACTACGTTGGATAATCATACGGAAAAAATCTGGTCTTTGACTATACGAAAAGATGAAAAATTTGTTGCTTCGGGTGGCGGTGATTCTTTAATAAATATATGGCAAGATTGTACTGCTGAAGAAATGGAAACTCGTGTTAAAGAAGAAGAAGAATTTATTTTAAAGTGAGTTTGAACATTAAGATTTTTTTTTTAATCAATTGTTGATTTAACTTCTTGGTACATTTAGGGAACAAGAATTGTCAAATTATATGTTAAAGAAAGATTATAAGAATGCTATTACGCTTGCTATTTCATTGAATCAACCGTTTAAACTTTTAAAGTTATTTACCGAAGTTCTTAAAAACAGAGTTGAAGGTGAATTATATTATCCTTAACATAAGTTCCATTTATTATTTATTTTAATAGAATCTTATATAATTGCTTTCTATATTTAGGTGATGATAGCATCACAGGTTCTGAGTCAACAGATAAAATCATTGCAACACTTTCAATGGATAATCTTGAACAAATATTAAAATATATTCGAGATTGGAATACCAATGCAAAAAATTACCATACCACTCAAACTATTTTATATGCTATCCTCAAATCTTTTTCATCTCAAGATTTATTGAAAATTAATGGAATTAAAGATGTAAGTAACTTACTTTAACTCTATAATGGAAATTGTGATATTTTTCAGAAATGTTTTATTAACCTTTTATAATCAAAAATAGATATTAGATGGAATGTTGTCGTATACTGAAAGACATTATCAACGTTTAGATAGATTGGTTACGGATTCTTATATTATTGATTATTCGTTACACTCCATGGATTTGTTGGATCCTTTAGGACAAAATCTAATGGAAGATTAACCCTCCCAAGAATAAAAAAATTTATTTAATATTTTATTTATACTTTATATGTTTTAATTTATTTATAGATTTGTATCTTTAAATTAAAATTAAAATTAAAAATTACATGTATATTAAGAGTATTTTAAATAATCGCAAGTTCTTTATAAAAAAGGTAAGACGTGATACAATAGTAAAGCAAATAATATCTATATAATTGGCTATTATAAATGTATGAAATAAAAATTATTAAAATGATATAAATAGAAGATTTACAAAGAAAATTTAAAAAAAATACTATTGTTATAAAATAAATTTTTCAACTTTAAAAGTTGATGTACTGGTATTAATTTTTAAAAGTTTGTAATTATCAAAAACCAAACATAGCATTTTTGATTTTGAATGGTAATATTACATAAAAGTTTTGATGATTATTTATTAGCTATTAAAGATTGATGAAATTTGATTTATAATTTTTTATAAATAATTTAAAATCATTTCTTACTTTCTGATAAATATTTTCTTTATAATAAACTATCTAAAAAAATTTCTTGTTTTCTTTAACCAAAAACTTTTTGGTTATTTCTCTGTTTAATTTGTGTTTATATATCAATACATTTAGAAGGATCTTTGTGATCTTAAAACATTGTTTAAAAAATTAAAATTAGCATAAATTTGTAATATAAATATAGTTTTAAAACTATTTTACCTTTATAAAACTTGAGTACTCATCATCTTTATTATCTTTACTATTACCTTCTTATAATAAATTTTTTTTTTTAGACATAATCATCAAGAACTTTTAGCTACAAATTAATCAATATATTTAAATTTATTAATTTTTTTAAAGATTTTCCTGAATAATCTTTATAAATGTTAAAATAAAATTAATAAATCCTGCTTTTAAAATATAAAATTAATAAATATATACTATTATTAGAAATTACATCAGAAGAAAATTTTTATTTTTCAGAATATAATAATATAATTGAAAAAAATAAAAAAAAAATTGATGTAATCTAAGAAAAATTAAAGAAAAAGAGGATTTCTTAAGTAGAAGGGAGTAATGATTATATATAAAATAGCAAACTAATAATTATTATTATATTAAAAATATTTATAGCTAAGATCTAATTTCATTTTTGTTTAATAGATTCGTAATTAAACTTGAATCTAACTTCATAATGATCTAATGCATTTTATCATCATCAATTCTTTATTTAAAAATTCTACCAAATTAGTATGTTTAAATTTTCTTTCGGGTTGAATTGCTTGAATAAGACTTACAATATCAGATTTTGATATCTTAAGAAATAATTGAAATGATTCCATTATAAGGTCACCAATTTCATTTAATCTTCTATCAAAATAATATAATATTTCTTCCATAACTTTAGGATTTAACTGGAATCCGATTTTAATCAATTTTTTTACGTCGTCAAATCTTTGTATAAAAGAAGAGTCCTTAGAGAAAAGATAAATAAAGGCGTTTCTCATTATCCTTAAATTTACATCATCATCGCTACAAACATCATATCCAATTTCCTTCCACAAATGTACCAAGTCAGGTTGAAAAGATATTGCTTTAGCTACCGCATCAACTTGAAATTTATCAGCATAACCATCCATTGATGGGTAGTTAATGACTCTTCGTTCATATTTAATATTTGGGCATGGGGGAAATGGGACAAATTTATTTTTCAAAATAAAACATTTAATGAGTTCATGATTTTCGGGATTTCCGTTCACTAAATCTTCGAATAACAACAAATCATCATTCATAAGATTATCATTATCGTTCAAAATTTGTTTTCCATAAGTGATTAGTTTAATTAAGGATGATGAAGGTATTTCACCCCCCCAAGTTGATATTGAATCTTTATCAAAATCAATTTTATTTATAACCTTATTTTCATTTTTATAGTAATTACCAAATAAACGTTGTATAAAATATCTTGTAAATATCACATTTCTGGAAAACAAAATTTGGATCACATCATTTGTTATGAAGCTATTGCCGAGCCTTATAGCATGAAATAGTGCTTGCGTTCTACCATATTTATAAATCAACCAACCAGCTCGGGCATGATAATCTACAGAGATTTTATGCCAATATCTATTTGAAACTAAAAGGTTGATGGGTGTTGGTATATATTTAAATATTTCAATGTATAATTCGTAGCAAAAGTGGTCAAACATATTTTAATCATAAAAAATTAAAAATAATTTGCCTATTATATATACGATTTTGGTACCAAAACCAACGCGTTTTTCTTTCTAATTTTTTTTACTGATAAAAGGTACACAACACATATATATACATAAATTAAAAAAAAATTAAAAACAGTTAATTACCTTAATAAATACAGTTAATTATTGATTTTGATCGACATTTGCGTAACGGCAACTTGCAATGGTGGTGAAATATAAAAATAACATTAAAAAAAAAATTAAAAACAGTTAATTATTGATTTTGATCGACATTTGCGTAACGGCAACTTGCAACGGTGATTATTATAGATAAAAATAACCGAAAAGTACTATGATTTTAAAAAATGTGATTGGCTTATCATAGATTCGAATTAATAAAAATTTCAGATCCTCATTGGTTTTATCAGATCGGCTACAAAAAAGGTCATCGCTAATAACTTTTTTCGGTTATCATGTGACTTGAATATTTTAATCTTTTTTTTTCAAAAATGTCGCTCCCTTATGATTCACGTCAAAGTCGTTTTACTTCGTATCTTAATTTTCAAAAATTTATTGATACTAAAAAAGTTCTTTGTAAATGTGGTAAAATTATTTCTCTTGGTAATACTTATCAAATTTCCAATTTTCAAAGACATTTCCAAAGTAATAATTGTACATATCGTACAAATAATCAACCAAGCATAAATGTCTTTTTTTCAAAAAGTAAACCAGGAGGAAATAAAGATAATGGTGAAAAAAATGATAGTGAAGAAAATAGAAAACGATGTACTTTTATGTGTCAGGGTCTCTGTGATTTAGAATATATTAATTATATTATTAATAGTCCTGCTAGTTTTGGTAGTGGCAAAAGGCCTGAAATTGTAGCAAACAACATTTTTCAGAAAAATTTCCAGAAAATACCTCTTTTACTAGAAAAAAACTTAGTAAAAAAGAGCGAGAAGAATTTGAAAGAGAATTAAAATCTGAAGCAACTTGGCATTTAGACAAAGAAGTTTTAGCAGTATTTCATATGCAATGTGAAAAAAGAACAGATAATAAAAGCGCTATATGTAATGAGTGTGAAGGATTAAAAACTAATAAACGTTTAAATGAAGCACTTAAAGCTATAAGTTTAATATATTTAATATTATTTATAGATATGTTAAATTTTTAAAAATTAAAATATCTATTATTTAAGGGACAGGCAATAAGTAGTATCGTCAAATTCACCCTTTGTCATTATTATAATGAACCATTATTAAAACTTCTTAAAAATTCAAATTTATGGCAAATTTTGGCATCTACAAGTAATGAAAATAATGATGCAGAATTTTGGACAAAATTAGCACAATTTGGTTTAAGTGGAGCATTTGATGGAGATGGTATTTTTACTGAACTGGTAGCTTTAATGGTATAAATTAAAGAAAAAAAATTACAGGGTAAAAGTTTAAAAGGACTTTGATACTCTGAACATTTAATACATTTTTTTAGTTTATTATCTGAAAGCAGCTGTGAATATGAAATTTTTAGAAAAGCTTTTGCTGGACTTTCAGTTCAAAAAATTCGGTAATTATTATTTATTTATTTAAGTACTTTATATAATAAATGTATAAATTGGTAACTTTTTTTTAAACAGACAAATTCGTAAAACAGATTCTATTATAATCACTAATCCTGATTTAGTGATTGAGAACTTTATAAAATTTTCACAAATTAAATCAAGTATTAATTAGAATAGGCCAATTATAATTATGACAGATTCTACTAAATTATAACAAAAACTTGTATATGTCGAAGAACTTAACTATATTGCTGGATCAATTCTACCACATTCAGAAACAACAATTGAAGTACTTGAGGATGTATATCCTAAAATTAATTATATTTTAGAAAAAAATGCAATTGCTACGCAAGTTCGTGATATAGCATTAAAGGTTAGTAATCATTAAATTTATGTTATTTAATAAAATTTAACTAATTATAATATTTTTATTTAGGTTCCTATTGGAAAAGTTCCACCAATGATGGTAGCAATGATTCCTACAAAGGGCAATGAAGAAGCTGAACAAATTGCATGTTTAATACGTTAAATAATTGAAATGGCATATATAGCAAATTTGAATATTTTGAGTTTTGAAGCTGATGGTGCTAGATCTGAATTTAATGCACAATCAATTATCACAAATGAGGTGTCAAATTTTCTTGAATATAAAGATTCTTTCTTAAAAATTTTTTTTAGGGTACCAATATATAATGATAAACCATTTATTCAAGTTCAAGATCCAAAACATGCTAAAAAAACAGCTAGAAATCAAATATTTTTGAAGCAAAACTTCTATCACTTGGAATTGATACTGCGCGTTATGATTAACTTTTTGAATTAACATATTAGTCACAACATTTTCTTTTAAAACGTGATGTATTTAATGTTAATAAACAAGGTGATGGAACAGTATTTCAGACTATTCATTCAAATAATCTAATGCAAATTCCCATTGATGATATTTTAACTGATGAAATAATTGGTCTTTTTGTATTAGATAATTGCAAAATTTATATTATTTTAATTTAATTTTAAATAATTAATTTATATATTTTTTTTATTTTAGAAGAATTATGTAATGCTTATTTAAATAGAACAATTAATCACAAACACGTATTGAAATAATATTACGTGCTTATTTCTTTTTGAATATATAGAAAAATTATATTGAACACTGTAGTATTCAATATTCAACAAAATGGTATAATTTACAAAAAAGTTTTATTTCAATACAAAGTTATGATATTTTTATTAGTATGATAAAATCTTTAATAATGCTTGTAATAGCACATCATAAATATTATTCACAATTTCCTTTATTACCATGGGAACATGAAACTGAGGCATTAGAGTATATGTTTAGAATTTCACGAAAAATTCTTCCTGATTTTAATTTTTATGAGTTTGTTCATATCAGAATAAAATTTCATGAGCAGGAATAATTGATATTAGTAGAGAACGAAATTCTGCAGCAGGTATTTTATAATTCATTTTTTTTTATTTTAATTTTTAATATTATATTAAATAATCAATTATAAATATATTTTCAGATTATATTTTGATATAGATAGTACATCACTTTCACATGAAATAATTGAAAAACTTCGAACATAGTCTACTACTAATTATATACAAGAATACACTAGAATTGTATTTAATGAAGCTACATCATTAACAAAATATATTCATATAAGAAGTGGTGAAGAATTTTCAATTTTTACACATATAGAAAGAATGACAGATATTGAAGATGATGAAAGTGTAGAAGAAGAAAGTAAATAAATTTTATTTATATTATATATATTATAGTTAATTTTAATTAATTAATAAATTAATTATTATCTAGAATTAACAAATATTTCTAATGATAAAACTTCTCTAAATCATTCAATTACAGTTGGTAATGTAGCTCTAGAGATAACACGTATATTATCAGATTTACAAAATAAAAATGATTTGTTATATGAAGAAGAAATTTTGGAAGAAGAAGATGATGATAATATAATGCAACAATTACCATCAGTTGAAGAGTTTCCTGATATCCAATATATCATTCAGCATTCCTCTATTCCTATATCTTTTAATCTATTTTAATCACTTTTTACAAATGATATTTTAAATGTATCAATTCTTTTACAAATTCGTCAAAGTCATGATGCATTTACACGCAATTCAAAATCTAATTTCAATTATTTACGTTAAACTACAATAGATTTAAATAATAATAAAATTAATGAAAATGTTGTTAATAAACTTATTACTGAAGCAACAGCAGATAATATTGATGAAAATCAAAGAAGAAGCCATCGAGATTGATGGGAAGGAAGAAAAAGATTAGAAACATTATCTAATAATACTTTAGGTAAAATTTTTCATTTTACATTATAAAAAATATATATTATTTAATAATAATAATTATTATTTGTTTAATATTTAGTAACAAATCTTGGTTTAGTGAATATTTCTGATATTTATTCTTTATGTAAAGGTGGATTTTTAATAGTTTATTCAAATAGAATTTTATATTTGGGAAAATGTATGAAAAAAGTGAACAATGACATGCATGGATTGAAAAACCAGTAAGCTTTTTAGATAATTTATTATATATTTTTATTAAAGTTTATATGCAAGTGTCATGTCGCTTTTTTTCGTGTGAAAATTCAGTAGGAGAAAATATTACAATTCATATTAGCCCACGTGAGGTAATTTATTTTTTGGGTGAATGATCATTTACTAAAGTAAATGATAATTATGATGGTTTGATTTCAGTAGATGATAAGACTATTTTAATTTATATTTTTTTAATACACCTCCTATATATGAATTTCTTTTAAAAATTTTTTGATCAATAAATAGTTTACTCATAAGGTGTCTGATCAAACAATGATTTGCATTAATATTAATTTTAATGTGTTCGTAAATCTGATTTGCTTAATTATAAAAAATCTGATTCACAGAACTAAGATCAAGTAACTTCTGTGGCGAGAACATATAATAAAGATTTTACAGTCCTAGCTGAACATATCGCATACAGATCAATTTTATAATTAAATTTGTTTGTGTAATAGTAATTGAAAAATTTGCCTCATAGTTAACTGTTAAACTTTTTAACATATATTGCTTATACAAATTAGGTAATTGATAAAATGTCATAAGTTCTATTCATTTATTTTAATAATTCACCACTTTAAAAATTTTTTTTTTTTTTGCAATTACAAGAAGTTTTGTCATAAAAAGCTACATTTTTTAAGATCTTCTTAAAAGTTGAAAAGAAAGTATGATTTTGACAGTTAAAATAAATATA